AAAAAAAAAAAAAAAAAAAGAATAAGATGAATGATTCAAAACAAGATTATAGCCTTATTTTATGATTAAGCTGGGTGTGGTGGCGCATGCCTTTAATCCCTGCACTCAGCAGGTTGAAGCAGGAGGATCTCTGAGTTTGAGTCCAGCCTGGTGTACATATATCAAACTCCAGGACAGACAGAACTACATAGAGAGACCCTGCCTCACAAAATAAGAAATGAAACAAACAAACCAAAGATTTTGTTTTTTTTTTTTTTTAAATCATGTTCTAGGTTTTGGTATCTCTCCCACCCATATTTGTTTTCATGTTTGTTTTTTTTTGTTTGTTTGTTTGTTTGTTTTTGTTCTTGGTTTTGGTTTTGGTTGTTACTGTTGTTTTGGTTGTTAGTGTTGGTAAAAGTGTGGATGTATGTTCAATAATAGGAATTGAGCACAGAGCCCTTAAGTGCTAGGCAAGTATTGATCTATATGCCTCATCTCTTCTGTTTGATTGTTCTAGTTTTTGTTTTTTGAGTTAGTGTCTCATTGAATTACCCAGGCTGGACGTAAACTTGTTATCTTCCTCTTTAACCTCTCCGTTATCTGGAATTGGAAGCCTGTGCCACTAGGCATGTCTAGGTTTTGATTTTCTGTAGTAGCACACACCGTGTTGTTTAGAACTCTCTTTTGAGTAATGGCAAAAGTATTTGTTAAGCTTATTGTTTGTAAAATATAATGACTTTTTAGATCCACGCAGAATGTAAGCGGTTTGGGAAAGCATATAATCTTCGATCAGTGGCAGTATATGGAGGAGGGAGCATGTGGGAGCAGGCCAAAGCCCTTCAGGAAGGAGCAGAGATTGTTGTGTGTACCCCAGTGAGTATATCTGTGTTCAAGTGGTTCTCAATCCCTTGTAATAGAGCAAGCATGGTTAATGTTGAGAATTCTCTCTAGAATGTAAAGCTAAGTTGGGAATACCCTGGTGAGTCGCCTCCTTTCATTTTGGTTTCATTATGATTAGTTGACTAAACTGAAATCTAGTTATAACATCCATGACCCATGCATTAGCAGCTACAAGTTCCTTCCTATTTCAAACAAGTTTTCTTAGGCTTTCATAAAAGCTGAATCTGTGATTACTAAGAACATGAAGAATCATAAAATACTCAGATAATGTTTAGAGCTGCCCAGAAGATGCAGGTTAAACATCAAAACTCATTTATAATTTTTTAAATTCTTTTCAGAACATATTACAAGAATGGTTCTGGCCTGCTTGTCCTTAGAATTTAAACCATAATTAATATGAAAGAAGAGCTTGAGTTTTCAGAATTCTATTCCTGCTAAGTATAGGGGTGCATGCCTTTAGTCCCAGCACTTAAAAGGCAGAGGCAGGTGGGCGTCTGTGAGCTCCAGGCCACCCATAAACCCCTGTCTAAAAAGAAGTTTTTTTCTATTTTTCTGAATTCGTTGCATAAAGGCCGTCAGATGAGTATCCATTTCTGTCCAAGACCAAAGAATTGACACTTTTTCCAGGAGTGTAGCTGTAAATGTCTATGTGAATCTCTAATTATACTTACTATTCATTTTGTGACTCTCACAGGGTCGGCTGATTGACCATGTGAAGAAAAAAGCTACTAATCTTCAGAGGGTCTCTTATCTTGTGTTTGATGAAGCCGATCGGATGTTTGACATGGGATTTGGTATGCCTTTGAATTATCAGTGTCTTCTGTCCCCATGTTCAAGTTATTTTTCTCTGTGTCTTCCCAGAGTTAATCGGTACTTTTTATTCGTGAAAGAAGTTAAAAATACTTCTGGATTTCAAAAGAAGGGGTATAGACCAAGCCATAAGCCATTTGTAGGAGCTTTCTGAGGGAAGTGTGCTAATCTTGACTGTGTTGAGAAAATTTGCAAGTGCTTATAACAGGGAATGTTTTCTCTGTTCTTTATTTTTACTCACAGGCCTTTGAAAGTTACAGCCCATATTCTTAGATAGGTGAATAATAAGTCAAACAGGGTCCTTTCCTGGCCTCTTTGGCTTAACTGGCTATGCAAATTTCCATACAACTACTATTTACCCAGTTTAGCTGCTCTGAAGTTTTTTGAAATTTCATACTGAATGGTGTCTAGTAGTTTCAGGACTTTTTTAATCCTTGAAAGTTCTCATGGATTTTACTAAAGTGACTTTTCACACCTCTCTTAAATGCATTACAGTATTGTATTGATTACTGTTCTGTTTCTTTCAGAGTACCAGGTTCGGTCCATAGCGAGTCATGTCCGTCCTGACAGACAGAGTATGTATATGTATGAAGCAGCTTTAGAATACAGCTCTATTTATATTCAAAATGAACACCTATTTTATAAGTACTCACAGTTATAAAAGTGAAAATTACTATGTATGTACTCATGATAACTATAAAGGGGGGAGTTAATGACCATTTATTTGAGCCAAAAAGACCTTAGAGATCATTAGATGTAACTCCTGTATTTTTTTGTTTTTGTTTTCCACAGTACTGAGTCTTCTGCATGTTAGGCGAGGACCTTACCTCTCTGTGTTATATATATGTATATCTCCAGCCACCTCCTTCCCCCCTTTTTTTCCACCTTACTTTCTAGGTAGTCTTACTAAGCTGACTAGACTGTGCTTGGACACTGTAGCCTAGGCAGGCCAGAAACCTGCAATACTCCTGACTCACCCTCCAAACAACTGGGATTACAGGTTCATGCCACCAGGCCCAGCAGCAAACTGTTCACTTTTTTTTTTTTTTTTTTTGGTTTTTCGAGACAGGGTTTCTCTGTGTAGCTTTGCGCCTTTTCCTGGAGCTCACTTGGTAGCCCAGGCTGGCCTCGAACTCACAGAGATCCGCCTGGCTCTGCCTCCCGAGTGCTGGGATTAAAGGCGTGCGCCACCAACGCCCGGCTAAACTGTTCACTTTTTATAGATGCTAAAACTGAAAATAAATACTTTGCTGCAGTTAGGTGGTGATTTGAAATCAGAGCCTTTTCCTGGACCATTATGACAACTCATTTCTTTGTTGAAAATGAAGTAAAAACAAAGGAAAGAAAATCATTTTTGTTTAGTGAATCTGCTACATTATAGAAGCTTAATGAGTAGATTTAGTAAAAAATGCTATTTCTTTTTTAACACACTTTGCTTTTATCTTTTAGCTCTGTTATTCAGTGCAACTTTTCGCAAAAAGATTGAAAAATTGGCCAGAGACATCTTAATTGACCCTATTCGAGTGGTGCAGGGCGACATTGGAGAGGTAATCCTGCACGAGGCAGGGTGGGCCTGCAATTTCTCTTAGGGACAGAGAGTTGGATTCTTAATTCATGGGTTTTGTTTTTTTGTTTTTTGTTGTTGCTGTTTTTTTTTTTGTTGTTGTTGTTGTTGTTTTTGTTGGTGGTGTTTTTGTTTTGAGACAGGGTTTCTCTGTGTGGCCCTGGATATCCTGAAACTAGCTCTGTAGATTAGTACTCTGCCTCCTGAGTGCTGGAATGAAAGACCACTGGAATGTGCCACTGTACTCAGCCCTTCAGTAATGATTTAAAAATTAAAATATTATGTATGGTGCAACATGGATTAGATTTGCTTTAAGATACATAAGTTGAGGGGAGTGGCACATTGTTGGTATATGGAAGCTGAGTGATGGGCATATGGGAATTATGTTTGTTTCATCTTTTTTGTTTGTTTTTTCAAGACACGGTTTCTCTATGTAACTTCCCTGGCTGTCCTGGAACTTGCTTTGTAGCCCAGGCTAGCCTCAAACTCACTTGAGATCCGCCTGCCTCTGCCTCCTAAGTGCTGGGATTAAAGGCAGGTACTACCACACCTGTCTGTTTTCACAAATTTTTTAAATTTTAAAAGAAACAAAACAATCAGCCTGGAAGACTCAGTAAGTTAGACTGTGGATATTTAAGTAATTGTTAAAGCAATCTGCATAGGGTGGTGTAGGATAATTTTGGGGTCTGGTAAGATTAAGTTTGATTTCATGCTTACCTACATATGCCCTTATGTGGTCATTTCTCTGAATTCGAAGTTAGAATTCAGTTAATGTTTTATAGAGAATTTTTTGGGGGCCAGTAGATGGGTCAACCAGTAATGGTGCTTGCCTCTTAAGTCTGAATTCAATCCCCAGGACCCACATCATCGAAGGTGAAAACTAATTCCTATAAGTTGTCCTCTGACCTTCATGTGTGTGCGGTGGTAACACATGGAAGCATGCACACATACACACACAAATAAATGGAGTAAAAAGAAAATTCCTTAAGATTACCTTCCCAGTTTTTGTTGCTGCTGTTGTTTAATGTGTCTTTGTTAGGGTTTCTGTTGCCGTGATAAAGACCGTGGCCAAAATTAGCTTGGGGAGGAAAGGGTTTATTTTAGTTTACAGTTGTAGTCTTAGTAAAGGGAAATCAGGGCAGGAACCTGGAGGCAAGAATTGAAGCAGAGGCCATGGAATAACACTGCCTATTGGCTTGCTCAGCCTACCTTTTTTTTTTTCTTTTCTTTTCTTTTTTTTATGATTCCTTTTTATTTTATTTATTTATTTATTTATTTATTTATTTATTTATTTATTTATTTATTTATTTATTT